GGGTTAGTCAGAGTCACGATTAGAGCCAGAGTCAGGGTTAGAGTCAGGGTTAGAGTCAGAGTCACGATTAGTCGGAGTCAGAGTTAGGGTCAGGGTCACGATTAGAGTCAGAGTCACGATTAGAGCCAGAGTCAGGGTTAGAGTCAGTCATGATTAGTCGGAGTCAGAGTTAGGGTCAGGGCCACGATAAGAGTTAGAGTCAGGGTTAGAGTCAGGGTAAAGTCAGAGTCATTATTAGAGTCAGAGTCACGATCAGAGGCAGGGTCGGGCCGGCTTCCGGCCATGCGGGTGCTGTACCTCTGCCGAGCCCACAGCTGCCAGCTCGCCCAGGTACAGGTCCAGGATGTGCAGCTGCAGGCCGCAGGGCGCCTCGCTGCCGTTCCGCAGGAGCTCACGCATCAGCAGCTCCAGGAACATGGAAACAACACTGAGGAGAGAAAAACAACAATAAGCACTTCACAGTTTCACACTCAGCTGATGTCAGGATAGACAAAAACATCCCAAAGACACTACCTGTCATCCCAGTGTTTCCTCTTCAGGGCCTCAAAGGTTTGTCTGAACATGAAACGCACCAGCTGGGAAAGAGACAGGCCATGAACACTTTACAGTCACAATGAAATCAACCATGCAGATGGAGGAATGACACCTGATCACACAACATTATTCCTCTTTATAAAACCAAGGATTGGTCTATTCCTTATCAACTGTTTCACTGATGGCTTCTTCTCATGCTGCCCGTGCTTCATGATGGGACCTAACCACACCTGTAAATATTTACTACAGCCAACATGTGACCACCCACACAAACACTGAAAGGAACCATTTCTGAGGCTAAACTGACTCTTGATTGACCACTTAACCATAATAGATCTCACTCCGACAGCTTATTAAAAAGTTCATCTCACACAAACCTGGAAGAATTTGTCCATTCGCAGCCGGTCAATGCCGGTCCACTCTCTTTTGAAAGTCTGCAGGAAGCTCTCCAGGTACAGCAGTTCTGCGGGGGGACAGGTTTAGGGTCACCTATCTCCTTTCCTTAATGAAACAATGAGGAGGACCTGTGAGGGGAACTTACGCCCGTCTGTATCGTGGAAACTGTGGATCATTGTGGAGATCTGGTTTGACAACTCCTCCTAAAGACAACCAGAGGATGATATGGGGACAGAATCAGAGGGTGTGGGGGTGGGGCATCAGGACGGGCCCTCTGCCCCGGAGCCAGGCTATCTCCCCTGGACAGTCCTTACAGTAGAGCAACACATTCTGGTGCAAATAAACCCACAAACACTCATCTCACATTAAAGATAAATCATTAAATGATCAGCTTACTGGGAAATAATCAATAAAAACTCAACAAAGACAGCTAATCCTCTAAAATGAGGCACTAGATTCCTTTTACAGATAGAAATCAGCAGTTCATGAAGCTACTATGATGAAGACAAAAGGTTGAAAACAGACATATTTCGCCAGAGAAAGGCCAAGAGTCTTTATTAGTCATGATCCACCACAGTGGCAGAAAAATCCCCGGATTTTAACACGGACCCGTGGCTTTCTGCCTCTCTGAGAGGTTAAACACACCTGAGTGTGAATTGGAAAACTAAACGGAAGCATAGTTTACACCACTTCCTGTTCCGACATGTCCATGTATGTCCGAAATGGCAAAGTCTCTAAATGTCCCACGGTAAAAGGTTACAGTTGTCCACCCCAAACACGTCTGTCCGCCGCCGTGGAGAGCAGGAGGACCAGGTCCGGTTTTAGGAACATTTACAAAAGCTCTCGACCCGTTTCTTCTTCTGTTCTGACTTTGTTTTCGGAAACAGAAGTGGGCCTGAGTCCGCACTGACCTGAAGCAGAGGTTTGTCTTGCATCCACAAGCAGTAGAAGAGGCCCTTCCACAGTTTGAGGAGCTCTTCAGCAGAGAATCCCCCTGAAACGAGACGTCCCTGATTAGATCCTCCCGGCAGGGAGCTCTGATCCCCCCGGTCATCACATGAGCAGCGAACGGACCCCCTCCCGGTTCCCGCTTTCTGGGCGGCTGGCAGACGTGCCCGTGGCCGTCTGCCCCGGGTGTTAGCACGCTAACTCACCCGCCTCCCTCTGTGAGCGGACGCTGATGTACTTCCTGAGTTTCTTCATGGCCCGGGTCCGGACGGGCTTCTCGTTGGAGGCTAACCGCTGAGCCAGCTGGACCTCCGGCTCCTGGACCGCCGCCATGCCGCTTCGCTCCTGTGGGGACACGTTTCTGTTTCCCCAGTTCGGCCTCACGCGTCTCCCCACGTTTCTGTTCTCGGCGCACAAGACTGACGTCACTGGCTTGGATCGCATATGCGCATGCGCACGTTTTTCTTCTTCTAATAATTCTTTTGACGGTTGACAAAAGAACTGAAGATGGGCATTACGCCACCTATTGATATGGGGCGTGGTTCATGATATTTAACTTATATCTGCATTTTACTTAATACAAACAAGATAAATAGATTTTTTTTAAATCTCTATACAACTAAAGCGTTTTTAATTTTTTTTAGTAGAAGTTCAAAATAGTACAAAAACAAACAAAACTTTTGAAATGGGTCTCCTTAACTTAAAGGAAATATGGGCCATTTAATAAACCTAGAACGAGCAAAAGTCATGGTTTTACAATTTGTTGTAGGATGCTTCCTGTGATTTACTATAATCACAGTAAATCCTTTGTTTATATATACACATTTATATTTACTTAGACTCATAGCTTGCCTCATCTTGTCTAACTACAGACCTAAATCCCTTCATACCACTCTAAACTGTGTGTCCTCCCGCAGACACCTGCACAGGCTGCACTTTCTCATTTCTGGAGGAGAGTAAACACGGTGTGCTCTCTTATGAAAGGCAGACTGATTTATATTTATTCCATTCCTAAGTCTGCTCTTGGTCTGCTCCCATGATACTTTCTGACCCAGCAGTGGAGCATAGGAGATTTCAGTCCCTGACTGTTACCAAAGGTGGAAAGGAACTGGGAAAAATGGCTTTCAGAGTTATGGTTATGGTTCCATTCCCCATTAAGCCACTTAACTGGTGGATGCACCTGGCTTCAGATATGTCCTCTGATGTAGCTCACGTTGATCTCTATAGTTAGTTCAAATGATCCAATTGGAACTAAATTTACTTGGTGAAAACTTGTGTTTTACTGTATTGAAATCTTGTTTTCTATTTTCAGTAACTATTGTCTGTGGGTTCTCTCCGGGTTCTCCGGCTTGGGTTGAAGTCCCGGGGGCACCAGGACCTTACACACAGTACACAGTACTACACACAGTACTGCACACAGTACTAAACACAGTACTACACACAGTACTAAACACAGTACTACACACAGTACACAGTACTAGACACAGTACACAGTAATACACACAGTACTAAACACAGTACTAAACACAGTACTACACACAGTACACAGTACTAGACACAGTACACAGTAATACACACAGTACTAAACACAGTACACAGTACTAGACACAGGACACAGTACTAGACACAGTACACAGTACTAGACACAGTACACAGTACTAGACACAGTACTAGACACAGTACACAGTACTACACACAGTACTAGACACAGTACACAGTACTACACACAGTACACAGTACTACACACTGTACTAGACACAGTACACAGTACTAGACACAGTACACAGTACTACACACAGTACTAAACACAGTACTGCACACAGTACACAGTACTGCATACAGTACTACACACAGTATTACACAAAGTACACAATACTACACACAGTATTACACAAAGTACACAGTACTACACACAGTACTAAACACAGTACTAGACACAGTACACAGTAATACACACAGTACTAGACACAGTACACAGTACTAGACAGTACTAGACACAGGACACAGTACTAGACACAGTACACAGTACTAGACACAGTACACAGTACTACACACAGTACTAGACACAGTACACAGTACTAGATACAGTACACAGTACTAGACACAGTACACAGTACTACACACAGTACTAGACACAGTACACAGTACTAGAAACAGTACACAGTACTAGACACAGTACACAGTACTACACACAGTACTAGACACAGTACACAGTACTACACACAGTACACAGTACTAGACACAGTACTAGACACAGTACTAGACACAGTACTAGACACAGTACACAGTACTAGACACAGTACACAGTACTACACACAGTACTAGACACAGTACACAGTACTAGATACAGTACACAGTACTAGACACAGTACACAGTACTACACACAGTACTA